CAGGATGCTTAGCTTAAAAAAACGACCAAAATTGTTTGAGGCCACAACCTTTGTATCCCTTTGCCAACTGATTTTGAGAATCTGTTGGCTAGGTTTGCATTAGAGAATATGAAGAAAGCTATAGGAAGATTAGGGAAGAACGGGAAGAATCGCAAGAATATAGAGCACACTTTCAAAATGAGGACGTTAAACAATTGTTGTTCCAGGACAAGCAGAAGGAATTTTTGGTTTGCATGCAGCGAATTTCAACGCAATGGAGCAATTGAAGGGGTGGTAATCCAATCTTGTTTGGGGCAGTTTTGGGTTCGCAATGGGTTTTAGTTGTTACATTATTTATGTTTTTCTGCGTCTCTCAAAATGAAAATCAGTTCTTAGCTCGTCGGTTTTGGATCCATTGGCTATCTCCGTGGCCAGCGTTTGTCGGCGTTTGTGGCATTGTTTTGGGTCCATCTATCGTTAGATCAACATGCTAGGCTGCCAATGAGAGGGCCGAAAGGAAATCAGTGCAATGCAATGTCGAAGTGTCTTACAAAAACACCGACAAAAACAACTTTGATTCTGTGCATTACAGTTTGTGGCAATCGCTTGTGACAGACGAATGGAAACGGAATGGAAACGGATTGGATAAAATGAAGCATCCAGATCTTGACACAATTGGCCAGGCCGATGGTACACCATTTTTGAATTTGCTTGACCTGTCGGAAGACCCAGCATCAGCATCGGATCTCAACACCTTACTTTGTCATGTTATGTCATGTTAATGTTGAGAAGAAGTGAGCCCCTTTGAATTCTTTTGCTCATAGGCATATCATGACTTCAACCAGGAGTGACACAGTGATGCCAAATTTGTCCCTATTAGCCAAGGATGGTCCAACCTGTCTCGAAGTTCCCAGCCGTCCCGAAAGTGAATTTGCATTCATTTGGGCGCTCCCAGCCCTCCCAGCCCTCCCAGCCTTCCCAGCCCTCCCAACCCCAACATCTTGCTTGGAACTTGGCGCAAGGCGGGGACTGTCAGTTGGCCAATCTGCAGACGGTGAAGATACTTGGTGGCCTTGGGCGGCCCTGGGCGGCGGGGTGCGGGGTTCTGGATGGTTCCAGGATTCGTCGATCGTCGATTCCGTCGATTCGATGCCGGAACCTGCTCTTGGAGTTGGGCAGTTCCGACAAGCTTCTGCTGTTCCAAAGTTCTGGCAGAGTTCTATTAGGGTTTTGAAATGTTTTGAATAGGAACGGCTAGGTGCAAAGAGCTTTGGATATAAATAATTAGTGCTGGATAGTTTCGGATAGGAACAGCTAGGTGTGCAAAGGATTTCCGATAGCTGTGGATTTGAACAGTGCGAAAAGGATTTAGGATATGAACAGCTGGACTTAATGTGCAAAGACATTCCCAGCTTAAGGGTCTGTCCCTGGTGGTAAGTGCCATGTCTCAGCTGTGAAACGGTGTCCTTTTGATGGAAAAGGCTATGTCCCAGTTGTGCAAGGGTCTGTCCCTGATGAAAGATGCAATGTCCCAGTCGTAAAATGTCGCGCTCCAGTTGTGAAAAGGTATGTCATTGATAAACGAGGCAGTGTTCAAGAGTTACTGTGGAAAGAGGAACCCACGAGCAGGAACAGGGTAAAAGAGACATGTAGGAAGCATCTAGTGCTGTTTTATGTGGTTTTGGATGTGTGTTTTACTGCTGGGTCCGTTTTTGGTGAAGACGTTGAACGTTAGAACATGGTGGAATTCCAGGGAGCATTAAACCTTGTGTCGGGCTTGATGCTGTTTGGTGGCAAAGGTGGCTTAGTCTTGGCAGGATCAATGTGATATGATGTGATATGAATAATGCTGAATGAGTACACATCTGAAGTATTGTTTGATTTGGACATTCCCCGCAAAATTGGACAAACCGTTCTCCAACACAAGCACACCTACGTATAGGCCGTATAGGATTGATCGATTGTTGGACCATGTTGGACCCTTTGCACTTCGCCAAGGAGCGCTTTTTCATCGTTGGTATCCAGGTGCCTCAAAGTCACCAGCAGATTTTGACCGATGAGGAAGTTGTCTTAACTCAAAGTCATTCGACGATTCGAATCCTTTTTTTAAAGCACTTGACAGTTGAGATAGTTGAGCGAGCTTGAAGACAGTCTTTGTTTCGCTTCTGAAACAGCATGAGCGGCAGGCAGATGTGAGCGAAAATGGCTCAGAGGATCTGCCCTTGGACCACAAAAGCCAGATGATCCTCGGACGAAAGTGATGCCACTTGCTGACTAGTTGTGCTTTGACAAAGTTGCCAAAATGAATATCACGACACGGGTATCCAGCAAAATGCTTCCATGATGAATACTAACGAGAATTCTCCATACATCTTACAGATTTTGAATCCTTCGTGCACCCTGCATGTGAGCAGAGACAATGAAAACCAGGTTAGACATGAGGTCTATTATTTTGTTCTGCGTCGGGGGCAATCAAGTTGCACTTTGTTGCATGGTACTTTCCTGTTGTACATGATGGGATCAACATTATGCATGATTCTATGACCACTCCTGCTATAAGTGTCACATTTTCAGGATTCTTGGAACTGGAAGTTGGGAAATCAATCAGGTTCCACAAATCCTATATAATTGGAATGAGAACGAAAATAACTGATCCAGCAATGCGGTACAGGGAGGCTGTTTACAGCTAGCGAAAAGCAAAATTGCTGCAAGGCTTTGCCTTGTGGTGCTGTTGGGTTTCTCATACAAAAAGCATGTAACGAATGTAACGAACATGCCACTGAACATGCTGAGCCCTCTGAGACCATCATTGCACGCTGACGTTAACATTCCATGGCAATCCTACAAGGCAACACATTGCGAACCTGGTACGCGACGCTGGTGCCTCAGTGGCCTTGGTTTGGAAAAGGTGCCATCTGACAACGTCTTTTGCAAGATTTGACATAGGTTTTTAATGGTTTTTAGACAGATTGAGACAGAGTCTTCCCCGTGCCTTCCCCATGCCTTCCGCATTCTTCGACATCGTGACGTCGTGACATCGTCTTCCCCCATCCGGTGTCCAAGGAGTTGACCTCTGGGCTTCAACAAGCTGCCATCATGACAGTATGCCTGGCACAGTTTGGGGATAAAAGATAATAAAAGATGATAAAAGCATATAAAAACATGATCATCATATATCGATATATATCGCACATTGTCACGTATATGTCACAGATGTCATGCATATTTGACAGCAGAATGAGGAGGTCCAGATTCGTTGAATGGAGGCAACGACTGATACCGGAGCGCTGTGCCAGAGCCTTGTTCTGAAAGGTCACCGCAGACAAATTCTTCACGTGAAGTTCACGAGAGTGTTTTGTGTCCGTCTTTTGAAGAGGATGCTGTCAAGGCACATGGCAAAATGCTGCAACAACAATTTGCAAGAAAAACAGGTGCCTTACACCATCGAAGGATCAGGATCGATTTTTTTGTTATTGATAGATACAATAGTGAATACAAGAAAAACATAGAAAAACTATGAAAAACGTGTATTTACTGGGGAAATTGCCGCCTCGGCAAGAACAAAAGAATTACAAAGAGCTATGGCATTTTGTTCCGCCACTCCAGGTTTGGAACGCGTTCCGCATGCTAAATCATGCTAATGGGTTGCAGATTGTATGCCAATTTAGTTTGGCTCAAGATTCACATGACTCATGTCTAGCCATGTCTATGCGTTCGGGCTTCGACAGCTGAGAAGTACTGAGGTGAAATCAGGCCTTATGAAGAGCCTAAATGGATCCTGGGAGAGGCCTGGCATAGGAATGGGATGAGTTGATGTCTCACAGTGTGATACACAGTACTGCTCAATATGGGCAACTTTTTGAAGAGAACGGAGTTGCTCGGAGTTGCTCGGAGTTGCAGAGTCTGCTCAGTTCTGAGGTGTTTGAAACAGCAGCACTTGGTGGTTGATTTTGAACAGTGAGCCTCTTGCAGCTGGCCGGTTTGAATTGTCTCCTCGCCACAAAGCGATAACAGTTTGATATCAGTTTGATAACGACAAAGTTAGCCCTTTATTAACAAATGAAATGCAACAACTCTGCTAAGGTTTTGACAGTGTGAGGTGGACATGACCTTAGAGCACCTTGCCCCGATCCGACGCACTGTTTGACAGGTCTTTTCTTTGTTGCTTGCATCGACTCTAGTTTATAGTTGGAAAAAGGATGGCCATGCATGGCTAGTTCGGAGCAGAAATGGACACTGGTGCCTACACGTGCAGAGTAGAGGCCAACTGCTGTTGCTATTTCTTCGAAGCAGCATTGCTGCTTTTAAACCAAAATCTTGAAAAAGAGTAGCAGGTCACGTACTGTGTATATATAATTATATATATATATTATATATATATATTATATAATATATACACTATCACTAACCAGTGTGTAAAAGGACTAGTGCACTGTAAAATAGAAGGGCTTTGGATTGGCATCAACTAGGACCCTCAGGGGAACATTTTCTTGATGGTTTCTCCGAAAAAGATGGGAATCAGACCTGCTAAGATATCTAATAGCCAAGTAAAGGACAGTTGACTGCAGCTTGGCGCAGGAAAAAGGCTTTGGGATCTTTGGGTTTGATTCTTGACATCTCCTCCAAGGTCAGTCCCATGCCGTCAAAGAGATGGAAATGGAAAGGGAAAGCATTGAATCCCATTGATTCCCATTGAATCCGGAGCATCGCTCAGTTTTGTCAAATCTGTGAACTCTACCCGCTGCTTTACAGGCCATTTGAATTCTAGAAGAACTGCAAGCTACTCGGAACTTAGCGCACGGAAAGTTGTAGCTTTGTCATGTTTGCATGTTTCCATGAACAGATCAATGAAGCAGAACTCAAGCAGCACTCAAATCGTTGACAGCCACCAAGCATGTTCATGTTGGAGCACATCACTTCGTGTGTGACAGAAGCAACAAACGACAACAGGACTCACGTCACAGGATAAAAACAATGTATATCAATGTATATCAACGTGTCTCAGTGTCTCACAGTGATTTATCAATGATCTCCTGATTCCTTTTTCTCTGCTGTGCTCAGCTGTGCTCAGCTGTGCTTCGGCAAGATCTGAGCATGAGTCCGGAGCCATGTCTTACCTCAGGTCATTTGGTGGTGCCAGAAGCATCTCACGCAGAATCCAGTCAAAGTACCTCCACACGTGCACAGGCCAGGGCTTGGAAAACCAAAGCCTGGTTGGAAGCCAATGGTCTGCAGAGCGGCTCCGGAAGCGGTGTGGCCTTTGTAAGTGATGAACGCATGCTTTTACATGCCGGCCCTGAAAAACATCCGGAACGGCCAGCGCGGCTAGCAGAGATCTTGAAGCAGCTGGAGATGTCGGGCCTAGAAGCCGCATGTGAACGGGTGAACTCTAGAGAAGCAACACGAGAGGAACTCTTGCGAGTTCATACAGAACAACACATCGAGCAAGTTTTTACTTCTGGAAGCAGCAAAAAGAAAGGGAAATCCTGGGGCATGTTCCTTGGATTGCTTGGAAGTCGGTTTTGAGATATTTATATTATTTCAAGCAGAAGTTATTTCTGTGCCATTGTTTTTTTTTTTACTCGTCTTTATTTTCATTTTTTTTCATTTTTTCCATGATCCTGCTTTGGTGGTAACTTTCTCGTTGATGACTTTGAAGACCCATGGAGAATTCAGGCCTTTTGGTCCCGATACATATGCAAACGACCAGACGCCCTTGTGTGCTTCACTGTCAGCTGGTTGTTTGTTGGCTCTTGTGGATCATTGTATGGCTTCCACAGATTCCAACTGTAACTGTGGCTTTGCTGCCATTCGACCTCCGGGTCATCATGCAAGTGAAGAGAAGGCTTGCGGTTTCTGCATGTTTAACAACGTGGCAGTGGCTGCGCGACATGCCCAGAAAGAGCATGGCTTGAACAATATCGCCATCCTTGACTGGGATGTGCACCATGGAAACGGCACAAACGACATTTTTGCCAAAGACAAATCTGTTTTCTTCTGTAGTCTACATCGATACGATGACCATTTCTTTCCTGGAACTGGTTTCGTGGAAGATGTGGGAAAGGACCAAGCAAGAGGATTCAACGTCAATATTCCGCTGGAGAAAGGCTTTGGTGATTTGGATTTGGTCCATGTCATGAAGCATTTGATCTGCCCCTTGATGGACAACTTCAAACCGGATGCCATCTTCATCTCTGCCGGCTTTGATGCAGTTGGTCACTTAGAACACTAGAATTGTAGTCGAATTGTATCATGAATTTGTTAGAGGTATTTGAGATCTAAAGAGAAGTCTTCACCAAACCCTGTCTAAAGTTGTGAGATTCTTTCACTTCTCTACTGTACCTAAGGTGAGAGGTGATAGACTTGGAGAGTGCAAGGTGTCACCTGAAGGTTTTGGGTGGTGAGAACCCAAGTATAAAGGCGACTTCAAGTCATTGTGTATGTTGCTGTACTTGCACTGACGACAAGGGTCAACAAATGCCAAAAACCTGGTCGGAATCGGAATAGATTTGGCAGTGAATAATGAGATGCAGACGAAGACATAAAGACTCAAAAAGCAGTCATGTAACATGTCAATACATGTCATGCGTGGAAAGAATTGGAAAGATATGGAAAGGCCAATTAAGATCAATTAAGCATCCCCTGTACGGAGTGCCGGAGTGTGCCGGAACTGACAAGACTCAGGATGACACGGAGCTTGTACCGCCTTGCAAAGCACTACTGCGAGGCAAACCTTGCGACTGAAGACTAGTTGACTAGTCTAAATTTAATTAGTTAAAGAAGTTAAAGACGACTGAAGACTAGTTGAAGGAGTTCGAAGACTTTCGAAGACTTTCGAAGACTTGAAGTACACATTGCTTGAACTGGTCCACAGCGTAGGAAAGAGAGGCTCCAGTACATTAGGAGATTGCTGCAATGTGCTGCATAGTGCTTGTTCTGCAAGTTTTCCATGGGATCATTGCGTGGAACACATTGTACCATCATAGCAATCAATAGCAATCAATAGCAATCAATGTAAATCATGTTATGAAGATGTTGAACCGCTATTTACTCAAGTGTGAGTCTGGATGTGATCGGGATACGTCATGATACATCTGTATTCCCACAACCTTGGAACTGTCAGGGACGCCTTTTTCTGGCCTTGGAGGGTGGATACGAACCGGACCTGATTGCGCTGGGGACCTGGACTATCCTGGACTAGGGATGCCAGTGACTGCCAGTGACTGCCAGTGTAGGAAGTTGTAGGAAGTTACTCCGGGGTTGGACAGTTTATATCAAAGTCTTGTGACATCTTGTGACTTACTGATTGTGCAATCGTTTTGCTCTGTGAGCTGCCGGCCAGATGTCAAAGTGTTGGGAAATGACGTCTTCGGTGGAAAAGACTGCATGTTCACCATGTTTACATGTTTATCAGCATCTCTGCTTTCTCACAGAGCCTCGCCTCCTCCCTGGACTGCTCAACTGCTTAGCCTCAGTGTGGATTTCTTTTGGTCCCTTCAGTATAACACAAGTCTTGCACGTTGAGATGGTTCTATCGTTCACAGATGCAAGACATAAGCACACATGTAAGAACATAAGAAACAACGGTTTGAATCGGTTTGATGATTATTGTGAATCATTATGAGCTATGATATGACCAGATCGCGTGACGTGATTTAACAGTTTTGCACTCAAAATGCCAAGGCAATGCACTGTCGAGTCGGGCAGCCAAACCACATTTTGGTTTCTAATGTTTCTAATTTCTAATGGGTCAGAAGAGACATCCTCTGAGGAGCAACCTCAAGACTCACACATGAGTGTGCTGCAGAAAACAATGAATTGATTGGAAGCCTTTGCTGATTTTTTTGGATGCACTATTCTTGAGAAAGTCCTGAAAAAGTATAGCGGCATAGCGTGCTGTAGCCAGGATGAGCTCCCAATTGTTTTGTAGCTCAACGATGTGCAACGTGTTTTTTTTGGCGAAGGTGCGTCCGGACTCTATTGGCGGAGGTCAACGGATTCCCAGGCTGTTGCATGGGAGCAATCTTCCAGCAGAAAGCTGTTGGGCTAACGGGCAAATTTCTACAAGTTCGATAGCTCAGTGTGCACGTTTGCTCTGACATTCAAACCTACACGGTTTCATCAAGTCTTCTGATGTGAGTTTTGTTGAACCTCTAGAGCTTGTCAGATTCCTTGAAGCGATGCTGTTACCATCTGTTACCTCGTGCTAATACTTGATGGGGTCCTTGGTAGCCTGCACAAAGATTGTTGCCTTCCGAGCTTGCTGGCATGGTGGCATTGTGGAAGTCCTACGTAGACGTAGACATACGCAGTAGACATGCGTCATAATTACATTCATGTAGGTGGGACATGTGATGCCTGAGCTTGGTTGAGGTGAATCCCCCCGGTGCCAATTTTGGCTCAAGGGTGGGGCTTCAATCGGACCACAGGTGGGACTAACCTTGCATGGAACTGGTGGTCACCCAACCTGAGGGGGTAGCGGAGGAGCCGACCAAGCTCCCTTCCCTACTTATCCTCTCGTGGGTGGTCATCGGTTCCGCGGGATTCCTACTTGGGTGGTTCAGCTCTAGAGCCTTCACCCGAGTGTCCTCCTGGTGGCGAGCCCTCTACCAGCCCGGCAACTGGGAGAGGCTGGTGCACAAGGCCATCTACTTCGTGGGGCGCCGGAGGAGGATCTCGTTGGCCTTCGGTGCCTACAGGCAATCTGCCTTGAGGAATACCCCGGCAGCTAAGCCGAACATCGCCCGGAGAGCTCTACGGGCTCGGGCTGCTACACCCAGGCCGCCCCAGGCCGCTGGATCGCCACAGATCCTCAACGAGGGTCCAGCCATTGTCAGGCGGCATGGATCCGACGGACGCTGAGCTGGAGCAAATAGCGTCAGTACAAGACGCCCTGGATTGGGCTGGAGTCGCCGGCGATCTTCAACAGCAACTTTTGGAGGCAATGGGAGGAGTACAACGAGTACGTGAAGTGCCGCTCATCCACCGACAGGCTTGGGACGAAGCAGTGGCGAGGCTGGTGATCCCGGAAGCGATAGACCCAGCCATTGGAGGGCCACCCAATGTCAGGCCTCTCAACCCGGTCGAGGGCGCCAGAGTCGAATCCTTCAGGAGGGTGTGTCACCTGAGGATTGGCCGCACCCCGGATGAGAGAGGGGGTGGGCCAGTGCCCCTACCCATGCCTCTTGGCGCTCCATTTCCTCCAGCGGGTGGCAACGCCCATCCAGGGGGAGGAGCCCAAGCTGGCAACCCTCCAATGACCAGGAAGCTCAAGCTTTCAGCGGTCCTGGACCCCACACTAGACGCGGACATACAGCCGTTGTCTACAGTTGAGCAGGCCCAGATGTATCAGTCCTACAAGGACAAGTTCGGCGACTACCCCAACGCTGACTGTGACCCCAGCGGTGATCAGGTGGCAGCACTTCGTCAAGTACTTGCTGCTGGAGCCGTTCCGTTTACGTGCTTCACGGTCTTCGGACCACACGGACAACGGATGCTCCGCAAACAGACGTTTACGGGGTACCAGCTCAATGTGGCCACTGGAGAGTGGAGCAAACGTGAGCTCCCTGGTCCCAGCTCGTACCATGCCTGGTACCAATGCTGGCGGGTCTTCAGGACGGCCATGCTCCTGCTCGGGGCGTGTGATGCAGAGAGGTTGGACTCCTATGCAGAAACCATCCGGGGCTTCGTCACACAGTTTGGAGACGAGACGTGGTTCCTCATCTCGAAGGCCGACTCCCAGATGCGGTCAGAGCACCTGGAGCGCATACGGCGCCAATTGAGAAGCACCCCGGCCATGGGGTTCACAGAGGCGTCACCCTGGTCAGCATGCTTCGGAATGGCGTGCAAAGACCACGAATATTGGGCCCGTGAGCTGCACACCCCAGCGACGCTCTTCTTGGCGCGCCACAAGCGGGAACCCGTACAGGGCCAGACGGAGGGTCCAACTGGGTCACCTACGAAAAGGACAAAGACGACCAAGGCAGCTCGCAGAGGATACACGGGCATGGACCACTCCAAGAAGGACGACACGGGGACCTACACCATCAACCGGAGGGGGGTCGAGATCTGCAAGAACTACAACCAGAACAAGTGCGGCTCAGCGGCAGCACAGGGGAAGTGCAAAGCAAAGAGGGCACATCAGTGCAACCTGTGCCTCGGGCCCCATCAAGCCGTGGGATGCCCGGGCAAAGCTGCTTCCAACTGACCCCGAAAGGGCAGCAGGGCATCCGGTGCCGCCCCTGCGCAAGCCCCGACACAAGAGGCACCACGACAGAGTGAAGAGGCAGGAAAGGGAGCCAAAAGGCCGAAGTCACCAACACTTCCGCCGACTCAGGAACAACTCCTGGCTATCCAGAAGCACAGAAGACCATCGCCAGCTGACCCACAAGACGCTCCAAAGCAGGCCGAGCAGGGGGATGCGGAACTTCAGCAACCTCACAAGCGGCAAAGAGTTGAAGAGGAGAGCAACAAGCAGTCTCTACCAGCCTCGACGTCGACGATGGGAATCAGGCAGGACCCATGCCCGCCTCGGCAGTATGGCTACTGGATGCATGGCCCTGGAGATGCCCGGCTCAAGCCTTGGGCGCTCATCCTTTTCTCCGGCCGCAGCAGGGAGGGCGATCTACAACATGCCCTGTGCAATCTGGGATGGAGGGTGTGCGCAATAGATGTGGTGGCACCTCGCCCTACCAACATCTTGTGTGAAGCCACCTGGGAATCCGTCCGGACAGACCTGGTGTCGGGCAAGTTCGAAGCCCTTATGATAGCCACGCCATGCGAGACGTTCTCACCGCTGCGGGAGAAGCAACCTGGCCCTAGAGTTCTGAGGACTCTGGAGCACATCCAAGGGCTTCCCAAAGCGGGTCTCACGCTGGCTGAACAGAAACAGGTGAAAGAAGCCAACGTCTTGGTCAGCAGGTCGGCATCTGCAGCTTCGGCGCAATCCGTGAACGACAAGCCCTGGTGCCTGGAAAATCCAGATCATGGCGACGACCGGCCCAGCCTATGGGTGATGCCAGCGATCAAGAGACTCCTCGAGGACAAGGCCGACTCCAACACCTACTTTGATCAATGCAAAACTGGGTTGGCCACGAGGAAGCCGACAAGGTTGGCATCGAGGGGAATCGACCTGGCAAAGCTCAGGGACCTTAGGTGTGACCACTCTCCGCAACAACAAACGCGGGGAGACGGCTCGGTGTACCAGGCGCCGCACCCGTCCACGGTCCAGCAATGGGTGGTCAACAGCCAAGGACGAAGAGAGCGGGCATCCAAAGCCCAGGGAGAGTACACTGCAGAGCTCTCCAACATCCTGGCCCAGGCGTTTCATGCCACGCAAACAGGGGCCACCTGGCTGAGGGAGGAGTTGGCAACAACTCCAATTCCCTGACGTGACCCCGTGGCACAATTCGCTCTGATGGACACTGGCCTCACCATCAGAGAGAAGGAAAACATGGAGGCCATTGGAGGGATGAGAAACCCCCAGATTTCCCGAGACAGGATACCGGGAGCCAGAGAGAGAGGGCAACCCATCCGACAGCTTCTGAGGAAGGCACAGGAGCTATGGCCTGCGCTGAGAGAACCGGCGGCAGCCATTCTTGACGGAGGCACACCCAAAGACTACGACACTGTGTTGGTGGACAAGCTCAGAGACATCATCCTGAACACCCTCTGGAACGTGAAGCCCAGAGGACCGAGGTCTGCGAGGGCATCAACACCTATCAGGGCAGACGTGGTAGCGGGATGGAAGGCCGACCCGGACTCTGCTCTCCTGGCATCTTGGCTGGACCACGGCACACCTATGGGATTCCAGCAACAGGTGGTGTCCACTGGCATCTTCCCGGAGGTTACCAAGCAGATGGGTGAGGTGGAAGCCGAACACATGGGCATAGAATCCCTGGAAGGCTGGACAAACTACGCGTCGGCAGAGCAGGAGAACAACGAGCTGCAACTACTCATTGACGACTACGTCAAACGGGGATTCTGCCACTTGTCGCCCTCCATCAAGCATGCCGAAGAGGAACTGGGCAGGCAACCCATCATCAACAAGCTGGGTGTGTTGGTAAAGGAAAAGGTCGACGCTGGCAAGACCACAAAGAAGGCGAGGATCATCTGGGACCTCAAGAGGTCCGGAGCGAACCAGTCATGCCACCAAGGCGAGCGGGTGCTCCTGCCACGCCTGCTAGACTTGGTTGCAGGGATTCTGGAAGGCTACCGCCGAGACCCAAGAGGCTGGATTGCCGCAGTTGACATCAGGGACGCATTCATGAACATACCAGTCATGGAAGACCGATATGCGCTGGTGGCGGCCAAGCCCAAGAAGAAGGCCGACGATGACATGGAGCTGGTAATCTTCGACACCTTGGTGTTTGGGGCGGCCAGCTCTCCGACAGTATGGGGGAGATTTGCGGCATTCCTCGCAAGGACCATCGTCGCGGTGGAGCCGGAAGTCACCTGCCAACTCTACGTGGACGACCCGGCAATAGCTATGTCTGGGTCGAGAGAGGACGCCATCACTCAGCTGACGTCAGTTCTCCTGTGGGTCAACATTTTGGGCTACCCCATCAAGATGTCCAAATCGACAGGAGGAAAATCAGTCAACTGGATTGGGGCGGTGGTGACGCTCCTGGACGAAGAAGCGGCGGTGGAAGTTACCATAGCCCAGCACAAGGTGGACAAGCTGGTAGAAGTCACGGACAAGTTTCTAGCCAGGCCGGTTGTTGGTGTGAAAGAGCTGAGGTCCTATGTGGGCGCCTTGTCCTTCATCGCGGGGCTTATTCCACACCTGAGGCCTTTCCTTTCTTCGCTGTGGGCGGTCTTACCCTTCGGCCGTAGTATGGCTGATGACGGAGCCCCGACAAAGGGCATTTCCGGAAGGCTGGTACACGTCCGAAGGATAAGACCAGCCTTGGGTTGGATCAGGGCCTTGCTGATGGGTAAAGGAGCCCCGCTGCGAAGACAGCTGAAGGCATTCCTACCCGAAATTCAAATCAACATCACTACAGACGCTTGCCCATTTGGCATCGGGGGCACGCTTCGGGTGTCGGGAGAGCTCGTAGAAGCGTTCTCCGCGGACCTACCTGAGTTTGAGCTCCTGAAGTTTAAAGCCAGACGCGGCGAGTCCAAATTCACCACGCTGTGGGAGGCGTTGGCCTTGCTTGTGGCCTGTCGCCTGTGGCTACCCAGGTTTGAAGGGAAAGCCAGAATTCATTGTAAGAGCGACAGTTTAGCGCTGCTGCTCTCGCTAGTGAAGGGACGGGCAAAGGCACCAGACCTAGCCGTCGTCTCCCGCGAGTTTTCCATCGATATGGCCAGGGACAAGTACAGGCTGCACCTCTTGACACACATACCGGGCATCACCAACATTGAAGCAGATGCCCTGTCAAGGGTGTACGCACCAAACCCTCCGGTTTTACCAAAGTCTTTGGAGGGAGTCCCAAGGGCCGAAGTCCGCCTAGGACCAGACTTCTGGATCGTCGACGCGTAGTCGGTGCAAAACAGGGCGCAACGCTGCGAGTGGGCAGGGGGCAGTTCACCAGCATCCCCGTTCACAGCAGGGCATGCAACCTGTCTCAGTTGGGCACACGTCAGCGCCATGAGAGGCTCAAAGAGGACGGCTCCTCCGGACCTCCCGGTGCTGGGTGCCCATGATAGGAAGAAGGGACCATTCCAGCCACTGCGGGAGGGATTTGCCATTCCCAGACGGGACGCCCAACCTTCCGCCAAGGTGGAGGAGCGTCCCTCGTCGGGAGGCGGTCCCAAACCGTACGGCCGGGGTTCCGCCGAGACTGCGCTAGCATGCATAACGGACCCTCGGTCCTGCAGCAGTGCGCTCAGGGCAGACATTAGCGCTGCAACCACCAAGGGGCCCACGGCCTCCAGAAAGCAACTCTGGGCAGCCCTGGCTACAAAAGCCGGCTACGAGGACCCATTCTACCTTGAGCCGGACCGCATCTTCGAGGTGATGGGTGCCCTCAAACTTGCTGGGTTCCGTTCTGCGCAGCTGTACCTGGACACGGCCAAGTCCCAGCACATTGCGGCCGGGTACGGCTGGACCTCTCAGCTGCAGCAGGCCTACAGAGCCGCAGTGCGTAGCTGCAATCGTAACCTGGGTAACCCTAAGCAAGCCGCTCCGTTACCCCTGGCAGAGTTAGCAAGCCTACAGGGTGAAGAGCCACTTGCCCGCTCTGGACCCAAGTGGCCCGCGCGCTCGGCTCTGTTGGCATCCTGGTGGCTCCTCCGGGAGATTGAGGCGTCGAACTCCATCCGAGGCCACATCACGGTTCACGAGGAGGACAAGAAGATCGACTGGCGCCTTCCCAACTCCAAAACCGATTGGAGAGCGTTGGGAGCCACCCGGAGCCACACCTGCTCTTGTGAGCTCGCTCCGGTTGCACAGTGTCCCTACCACAACATGGTGGACCATCTGGCCGAGCTGGGCAAGGACCCGTCCACACCGATTTTCCCAGCCGCCGATGGAAATCCCGCGTCTAAAACCGGGTGGGCTGACACATTTGAGGAGCTGGGCAAGATCCTCAAGCTGCCGTGCACCCACCCCAATGGGGCCAGATGCTTCACAGGGCACACAGCTCGAGCATCTGGAGCAGTACACCTGGCAGCAAGTCAGGTAGAACTTTGGAGAATCCAGCTGTTTGGGCGCTGGGCAGCCAAGTCTTCCTGCAGCACATCAGAGATGCACCTCTGAAACAGCTGGACAAGTTAGCATTGGAGACATCGGTTCACTTGTCGCTGTCTACGGCAAAGGCTCAGCTCCAGGACTTGATGCGCAGGGCACAAACGGGGTTGGCAACAACGCTGGCATGCCCGACCCCGGACATGCTAGGGGACTGCGAAGCATCAATTGGGGACTTGGAGCCTCCCAAGATCACGGACCCCATCGTCATCAACCTCAACGGAGGAAAGACCCATCGGTCATTAGTGTACGGAGATGATTTTCATCCCAAAGAATGGAGAACACGGTGTGCTTGGCGATTTGGCGGGCCACACACCAATTTTGAAATCTCCAGCGATCTCCCTGACCCGAAGGTCGCTTGCAGGAAGTGTTTTCCGGAGCTGAAGAGCCAAGCAGCGTCGTCTTCCTCGGGGTCCTCCTCTTCTTCTTCGAAGTCAGATAGCAATTCATCTTAGACCCGCTCAACTACACTAAGCAAGCAGGATAATTCTTGGGCCGTAAGTGGAAGTTGGCAACAGGCACAGTTTGATCTACCTGTCTTGGGTGCAGATCCGAAAAGGAGATGTAACAGACAGGTCAGATGCCAACCAAACTTTTGGCCAATTGTGTAAAATAACCCTGCTTGGTGGGTGGAGGGGTCTGCGTAGGCATAGCTTGTCTCATAATTACATTCATGTAGGTGGGACATGTGATGCCTGAGCTTGGTTGAGGTGAATCCCCCCGGTGCCAATTTTGGCTCAAGGGTGGGGCTTCAATCGCCCGCCCGACCACGCCCTGAAAATGGGGTAAGGGCACAGTTTGATCTACCTGTCTTGGGTGCAGATCCGAAAAGGAGATGTAACAGACAGGTCAGATGCCAACCAAACTTTTGGCCAATTGTGTAAAATAACCCTGCTTGGTGGGTGGAGGGGTCTGCGTAGGCATAGCTTGTCCTGTGAATCAATTTCATTCAATTCCCCAGCATGTTTTGTTTATTTTGCAAAGTTCAGCGAGTGGTGAATGTGTATCGCAATTGTGCGCGTGCGCGTGCGTCTCTTTGCTACAGTCTCACCAGCATGCTTGGCTTGCAAAAGTTTGTGCTGTATATGCTAAGGGTGCCTGTGATGGGACCAAGCCACATGTTGTTCAACTGCTTGGACAACTAGCGAGAGCTTTGAGAAGATGTGCCTTCTCTGGGATCTCGTTTCTTATGATATATGATATATTCTAAAAATATATAGATGAAACTGATGAAACCGTGTCCAAAATAGATCTTCTTTTCCAACAAGCGGAGTCTTTCCCCTAGCATTCAAGCTGCAGCTTCGGCTGCTTGGATTTTGGATCCTTGTCGCCTTGTCGCAGGTCCTGATGTGGAGGATTTTGTTCCGGCAACGCCCATGTCAAGTCTTCCTGCGACGCAGGGTCCTCGCCAGCAACATGAATTGTCTAAATGAATTTTGTTCTGCCCATGTTGATGCTAGACAATTGACACATTGTGGACCACTGGATGGGGACAGCAAGGCCTGCCATGGGCCCCTCTCCCGTTTGATGCCTCAGTTGCTGGTGGTTTCTCCCGATTCGAAGCCCCTGCAGCTCGCGAAGCTGAGGCATCTCCAAGCGGCCAAAGCGGCCTCTTTTCGAGATTGTTTTCGAGATCAGAGGCCAAGCGGCCACCAAGCGCCCACCAAGCGCCCACCAAGCCACCACCAAGCGGCCAAGCGGCTTGTTTTGTCCATGCCAAACGCTTGAATTTTGCCGACCGGCTTGGACTCCTGGACCAATACCCAGATCCTTTGTCATCTTGTGAGGGCGGATCGAGACCATCCACCCCAAGCTTGCGGCCAGACGGTGGGCACCTTATGACTTCCACACCAACCACACCTCCAAATGGAGAAGGTGCAATAAGAGAGGAAACTTGGTACTTCTGCAGCAGCGAACTCAACAAAGCCTTAGATAATGAATGACATTGAATGACAATGAGCTTTGAGGCACACCACCTGCATCTCCTGCCATGAGTGCGTCCAGCAGGAAGGCAACGACCGTTTGACAGTAGCCAGATGGCTTTGGAATCTCCTTGTAGAAAGAACAAGGTCAGCGGCCAGCGCAACAATTCAAAGTCACAAACTGGATTTGCCACAAAGATTATCTAAGGTTTGCCTCATTTGGAGGCTAGATAATCAAGACAAATCCTCTTCCTTGATTACGGCTCTGAATGAAATGTTGAGGATGCAAAATTTATATTTGTTTATTTTATTTTTTACTTTTCCTCAGCCCTCCTTAGCTCCTTTATTTTTGCCCGTTCTGTTATTAAAGAAGGATTGTGCAATAGGATTCAAAGAGTTTGCCCTTCATTGTGGATGACATTCTTGGGCCGGAGGTGCGCGGGCCTGCTGGCAAGACACTGCGGTCAGTCAGGTGGGGATGCATCATATCAGCAAGACCGGCAAGACCTGCAAAATGCTGTGACAAGAGAATCAGATAGAATCAGAATGCTCAGCATTCCCCATTCCCCCTCTTTCTTTTTTTTTCCATCTTGGTGTCTCCAGGAATTGTTTCTGTGAGACATCCTTTCTGGCTGCGCCTCATGTTAGACTTTCTTTTTGGGTTTGCTTCGTACAATTGCTTGCTGCTCCTCTGGCTCAGATATTCTCTCTGCAGGCAGTTCAGATTGTCAAAATTTGTCAAAGACATCACAAAATAATTCCATTTTGGAGTGTTGCTTTGCCAACGCCTGCAGACCCATCCAGGGTCGGACTCCCAAAGTGGAAGGATCCGAACATGGCTGCGCGGGCAGCTATCCATCTACGTGGTAAATATGAAGTGGGTGACTTGCTCGGTGAAGGCGCAATTCAGAAAGCAACCTAACATAGGGCTGTGGTGTTTCGCCTGAATTTCACGGTATCGGCGGTAGCAGTATCAAAAGACCAAAAGATATCAAATGTCCATATTAGATTCCGAGTAAAGTCGCTGAATTGAGAGTTGTCCGCTGAGTCGCTGAGTTGTTGTTTTTGCAGTTTTCACGTGGACTGCATGCGGATGAGTCGGATGAGACTGTTTCTTTGAGATTGGACTGTGCGTTCAGACACTGGCACAGCCCCTGAGATCTGAAACGAGATGGTTCAAATTGCCATAAATTGCCAACCGGGTGAGAAGTTACGATGTAGTTGCAAGCTATGATTCTGTTATATTCTGTTTGTGGGGAGCCGGCCTTTCAGATCCATTCACTTTCGAGAACTTCTCAGCTTTCTGTTTGCTCTTTGTTATTTTGACTAAGAATTGGTATCTTCACTTAGTGACTTAGTGCAACATCACATCATTTTGTAATCTTATTTTTTTTTGTAAACATTTGGTTTGTCATGTGCAGGCTTCGGTGGCTTTGTCTACGCTTGCAAGAGATATGGAGACGACTACGCCTTGGCAGCAAAGGCGCGTCGAAGCTATGGGAAGACTTAGACACCTTAAACTGGCTTCATACAGACAAAATAGTGATGGACTTTTCAGTCCCGTTGAGACCTTCATAGGCTTGCCATTTCCCAGGCATACCCGGGCATTAGAATCTGTGGCAGCTCTTTCTGTTGCTTTGTTCAGAGTAAGAGTCCGACATGGGCCTCCACAGACTTTGCGCATCCAATTTCTTGGCTTTCAGCACTTGTCATGTTTGAGTCACACGTTCGACGTGTTCACGGCCTCGAGGTGTGTGCCCAGAGGCATGGCGCAGCAGAAGAAATGCGCGCTGAAGCCCAGCTCCTTCGCAGCCTATGTCATAGCTGCTTGGTGGATGGTGGACCTTGGCGGATGTGCCAATGGTTCACGAACGGACAAACGACAAGCGGTGTCAACGCAATACCAGCAGGTTTTTGAAATTGGGTTGAGGAGTGGTAGGGCCTGGATATTTGCGAGATTTTCTGAGCCTTTCTTGATTTTAGGCTCAATTATGAAAGTCCACGACGTTTTTGATGACGGCAAATCTGTCTACTTTGTCATGGACCGCATGCATCACGACCTCTTGGATGGACTCTTGGCCGAGGGTTCAACAGTTCAAGGTTTCAACCTTTTCAACCCATGTGTGGGTTGTATTAAAGTCTCGTTTTTGTCAGAGGAATATTGAATAATTAATTTGAATATCTACTCACTCTGACATGGTTGCTTGTGTCTCGTAGATGCTTGACCTGGTCTTTGCATGAGTGCATGAGTTTGTATGTTATGAGTCGCTTGACAGCTCATTCATATATGTATAGGAAGATCCTCTTGGTCACCACTGGTTCAGGCACATCTGATTTCCTGATCAGTTTGACCTGCTTAGGCATGTTCAACAATTCTTGCTTCCTGCAGGAATCTGAAAGAAAGAGATGCGCGCACACACAACATAAGAACATTGTTTAACATTGAACACTACACGAAGAATCTTACGAAAGGATGTCTCACTTCATGATGGTGTACTGCAACCTCGGTGAAACTGATGGCCAGGATTGGACCTCTATGTCATGAGGCCGAAGTCCAAACTTGGAAGAATGAAAGCAATGAAAGGAATGGGAGAGTGTGACATAGAATGGAAGAACAAGACACAAAGGAATCATTGATGAGAGAATATCAGAATCTTGTTGCGGCAGTCAGATCTAGTCACATACCTGTGGTATCCTGTGGTGTTCCATTAGGAGCAAGCTCCAGATGCCAGAATAGTCTTCCGCGTGTTGCCAGGGAAACGGCTAACGTGAACGGCTTGGTGCACATAGTTCGGCAAATGGCAGAGGCAGTGAAATACCTGCACAGTTTGTCCATTGTCCATCGCCAGAGGCTGAGGCTAATTGTTGTGCCTGGTCTCTTTATCTAACACTAATGACTCAATGACGCAATACTAAGCAAGTCAGCCGAGGTGACATCAAGCCAGAAAATTTCTTGACCGACAGGGAAAGGCTGAGAGAATCTTGGCCAACTTCAGCAGCCCCTGTGGCAAACGCATTCAAACACAATTGGTAGTTCTCCCTTTTGCACCCAGAGCAGAAAAAAGAACATGCTGTTCAGACATGTTGAGGCCGCATCTCAAGAATCCAATTGAATCTAATTCGTGAGCTGGGAGGATCCTCAATGTCATGTCGTTCTGGCAGACTTTGGTTCAGCCTGCAAGATTACGCAGACTCGCTTGGCCGACCAGGTGCGATGCAAGAGTTACCAGTCGATACCAAGTTGAAACATGAAAAGTGCAGAGATCATGTTGCAGATGTCGCAGGATTTACTGCGGCGTTTGCCCAGACAAAACATGATAAACATGATAAACCACCTGGCAGTCCTAGTAATTCCTGGTGCCACCACATCGCAACGTATTGAGTTATTCTCTTGTCTCAGGTTTGTTTAAGGCGGACAAACACAATCAAACGAATCAAACATATCAAACATATATATTACATATATCATATATGGGCCAAGGGCAGGACAAGTCCTTGCTGGGAAGTTATAGATGTGATATGATGTGATATTGGAACAGGCTCAACGCGGCACCAAAAGTTACCGGCCTTGAGCCAGGTGGGAACCATGGTCTACTGGGCTCCAGAGATGTACGCGACTTGCCCGCATTGTCGCCGCATTGGACGCCTCCCACTTTACGCAATTAAGCAAAACCTGAAGTGTCAGAGCGAAGGCGTTTCAATGACTGAGGACAAGAACTATGGCTTGAAGGTGGATGTGTGGGCATTGGGGATTTGCCTCCATTGCATGGTTCGTCTCCCAAATTTGAATGCTTGTTACACTTGTTACACTTGTTACACTTGTTACACTTGTTACACTTGTTACAATAAGCCAGACTGCTTGGCGTCACCCCTCTTGGCTCATCGCTGCGGGACCAAGGCTAGCAATGCCTTTCCTTTCGATGATGAGCAGCAAGTCCGTACAAAGGAAATCGGCCTCCACAGTATCAGCTCATCCTGTGTTTTGGCATACTTTGATGTCTATGACTTTCAATATTTTCAATGATGTTTGCATCAGGGTGACGTTTTCCAGTGAGCTTATTTTCTTGTGATGCTTTTCTTCAGTAGATTTCGATGGGTTTAGAATCGGTTGAGAAGGTTAGAGGATAGTGCCTGGTGCACTGGCCAAGGTAGAGATTTGATTTCAACGATGCTTGTCAAGGTAGGTAGACGGGTTCTGATTGATTCTGGGCAGATCATGGCAGATCCACCGTGGCAAATGCAACCAAAATAACATGCAGCACATATAACATGGAACTTGTAACATATTTGCCACTATATATATATACTGTAAGACTGGAAGTGAATATATGTTACATGGTATTAAAACATGTTAACATGAAGCGAGGGCAAGAAGTAAATCTGAAGAAACTCCTGTCCCTCGAGTCTTTGGTAACATTGATTTGACATGATTTGACTGGGAGTGGGGACTGGTTGGCAGACTAAATTTCGTGGAGGTACAGGATAAGTGTAGGCCGGGCTAGAGACGGCTAGAGATGTACTTAGACATGACTTGGTGACTCACGGTTCCCTTTCGCGATTTTTCGCCTACAGTTCTTGGAAGGCCGAAGCGGATCGCATCAGCATGGAAGATGTCCTCTGGCATCCATGGCTCACAGGCCAACCAACAGAGAATGCGATCTCCGACATTGTGCCACGACGCAAAACAAAAAGGATCAAAAAGGATCAAAGGGCTTAGACTGCCATATCAGATGGTACAAGAGTCCACTGTAGACATTTTAAAGCCTATTCTTCGGATTGAACGACTCATTTTCTAGTCAGGGTGTTTGTCATTCGACATATTCGACGATGCAGTAAGAACGATCAGGCCGTTGGCCAGGGACGCAGCTTGAACCATCCGAGGATACAGAAGACTCATCACCTCTTTGGAAGTTGAGCCACTCAGAAATGGTCGAAACTGCGTCGAAACCGGGTCCAAATCACACAAACTGCAATGACTGCAATGGACAAAGATCAACCGATGGAACCGATGTGAGTTGAGATGCCGCCTGAGGTTGTTTCCTGATGTCAGTGAGTGGCGACTTCCCTCCTTCTCACGCCCCCGCAAGACCAAAAGGATTTGGCCCTTGGCATTGGCATCGCTTATTAGTGGCATTTGCGTTGCAAAGATGGCTTTGCGATTTTGCCCAGGCCAGGTTGCCGCCGGGATTGCTTTGACACTTTGACACTTTGACACAAGTTCCGGACAGTTCACCAAGTTCAACATAGCGAGTTTCTTTCGGCTCCGGGGCTCGACTCCAGGTTGGGACAATGCAGCACCTTGGAAGCCTCCAGGTATACCTGCCTCTTACTTGAAGTTGAAGCCTCTACGTACAGGAAAAAGTGTTGGATTGGTCTGGCGCAGCCACACCGCTCGAAAGGTCCGATGATCCTCCGAGGGAATTGCCTCTGAGTTGTATCGGATCCACGATACGACGATATCGATACGAATTCCATGGGACTCGAAGCTAAGTTCTTTCGATTGTGAAATTGTCATGACACACTTACATAGAATTTCGGCGCTTACAACGCTTGCAGAATGTTGGCATCCACAGTCTTAAGATTCGATTTCTTTTGAATCAACACCATGACTTTGCCCAGCAAAGTCCGCAAGAGGCATTCAGAGTCCTAAATTGAAGGTATAGCTCGGATATCCGAGAGTGTCTGCTGCGCTGCTGTTCCAGACCCCCTACGTTTCGATCAAAGGGGATTTCAATATGCTGCGACTTTGTCTCACTTTCGTCGTGATTTCCCTGATTTCCGTGTCTTCCCATGAGAGTCACGGTCACAATCATCTCTTTTACATGTTTCTCGCTGCACAGCCCTTTGTTGTGGCTCTTCAAGCCCTTTAAGCTGGCAAGTTGTTTCATATCGACTACCAGCTTCTATCTTTTGACTGATGCAGATTCAGCCGATCGCAACATACAGTCTGAAGCAGTTCAAACAATGCAAAGATACATCAGATATCATCAGATATAGATATATTTCAGAACTCAAGCTTACTACCATGCAGTGAAGAGTTTGGGAATTGACATCCATCTGATGTTGTGCCCCGCGAACCACATAATTCATTCTGTTGACTTGGTACAAAGATATCGACAGAATCTGCACCGGACTTGTGAGTTCAAGATCTCTGATATGACACAGGGTGGGTTACAGACGCAGGGACTGCCAAGTTCTAGGCTTTAGTCTTAGGCAAACTTTGTGTTTTTGACTTCACCTCAAGTTAATTATTTTAACTAGGATTATTTCAATTGATATGAATGAATCAGGTATGTTTTCATTGCGACCTGATTCAGGTGTCCCATGTGCTGTGGCCATGACCAAAATTTCTGAGATCCAATCCCCTGTTGCCCAGTCAAATGGCTGTCATGCGAGGCTGCGGGGATGGCCAGCTAAGGTGGCACGCCCGAAAACAGCTGCGGCACGCCTGTTTGTCGTGTCTGTTTTGTTTGTTTTGTTTGATGTTTCAATATGTTTCAATTGCATTGTGGATCTTGAATGATCTTGAATGATCTTGAATGATCTTGAATGATCTTGAATGATCTTGATGGATTTTGTGGATTCGTCTGAAAAAAGCTGCTGACTTGGCAAGGAAGGCGACAGAACTTCTCCAACCTCTTCCGATGCAAGTGCAGTTGGCACCACAAGGCGAAGGACAGAAATGGAGCGAAATGACAGAAATGGACAGAATCGGGCAGAAGCTTCAGCGAGTCATCACTTCACTGGTGGTCTTAATAGTATATTTCATACACATATATATATATATATCATATATATATATATATGTATACATGTAAAACAATATTTTGTATATTATGTGGTCATTTATGTTCACACTGCGCTGACTCTCTGCAGCTGTTCCTGGGTTCCTGGAGTAAAGAGCGGCACACAAGGAGCCAGCAAGAACGCCAAAAGAAATGAGCAACTTGGCAGACCTTGGTAGACCTTGGTAGACCTTGGTAGACTTTGGCAGACTTTTGTAGCTTTGTCACATCTCAATCTCTTTCCAATGACCACGCAATCTCCATCTCAAGCGTGGTAGAGGCGTCGCAGGCAGCGGAAGCACAGTGAAGAGGTACGATGATTCATCTTGGATTCGGGTGTGGCATGATGGTAGCATCAACATCGATCAGCACGGATCAACAGGAAATAAAGCCTGGAGACGGGCTCCAAGACTGAACAGTTCAGCACATGCATCTGGCTGTCAGGATGGTGCCTCTGATTCGTCTGGCTGGACTATCGCGTCCGCAACTCGCAACAGGGTCCTTCTGTGTTTTCCAAGCCATCAGCTGCACCACCGGAATCCACAAGAAGGTTCCGTTGATCCTGATAGCTCACAGATACCTAATTTATCACATATTATCACATTCTCTTACATGGGTTACACGGGTTGTCGGAAACCACTTCAGTTTGGGTAAAAGCAGACACATCGTGATTTGGTCTGATTTCCTTTCCTTGGATAGCGGGCCGGGTCCTTCCCGTCCCCGGAGGGCCCGCGCGCCCGTAGAGCGCATAAGGGCCCGTCAGAAGGTCTTTTTATCCCCATGTATGGTCTGTAATCGTAAGGCCCGCAGGGCCAGCAGGGCCCGTAGAGCCCGTGGAGCGGGAAGGGCTCTTCTCTAGCGGCAAGGATTGCCCTTCATCCAAGCCAGACGGACTGTCAAACAGTGGTTTTATCAGGACCACAAAGCACACAAAGCGCAGCTTAGGTGTGGAGGTGATCCTGAATTTCCGTACAGCCCAGCCATGAGGAGTTTCGAAGACGCCTAGGACATGATCCCATCGCAATCGATAATCAGTGCATATGATGCAGGATTGCAACGCGGCAAGTCTCTTCGTCTTCCCATGCATCGCATGAGGTGTTCAAAGCTTAGAGTTGGGAAAGCAGTGTGTTGCAGTTTAGCACGTGGTCTTTAAGGGTCTTTGAGGGTCTTTAAGGGTCTTGATGGGATAGCCTTTTTGACTTTCGCAGCTTTTACATCTTAAATTGTGCAACTTGCTTGATCAAAGCTGCAGGGAGATGACCTGATGATTCCACACCTGTACATTCCCACCTGTACATTTCAAACAGAATGCTTATATAAATATAAATATAAATATAAATATAAATAAATATCTATATATACATTATAGATATGCTTACATATGCAACAATGATTATGCTGATTTTTTTTTCACACCGACCAGCTTTCCCAAAGGCCTGACTTGGAACTACCGCCTCCTGTGGAGGAGACCAAGGAGGACCCGGGACAGCGTTTCTGTAAACGCCTCTGTCATAAAGATTGTTTTGATATGTTTTGATTCTGATTGTTCCGACCTATCTGTAGCTTAACTTGGAAACAGAATGAAACAATATGAAACAATATGAGACAATAAGAAACGATAACATATACAACAAGTGAATGAAGCCTTGCTGTACACAGAAATGTCAAAATGTCGCTGCGTGACTGCGTGGCTCTGAGAACTCCAAGAAGGACACAAAGGACACGAAGAATCCCAAGGAGACGGAGAAAGACGAGATGGACGAGAAGAACGAGAAGGACACGGCAACACAACAGGGTCAAGGCACTGGGAGACTCGGCGGTCGTGTCATTTCGATTTCGAATATTTCCATGTCATGGCCATGGCTTGAGAGTTTTCCACATATTTCCACATTGTGCTTGGCAAGGGTCATAGCATGTCATAGCATGTCATAGCATGTCATAGCATGTCATAGCATGTCATAGCATGTCATAGCATGTCATAGCATGTCATAGCATGTCATAGCATGTCATAGCATGTTCTTCATGGTAGATTTTCTGCGCAAGATGCAGGAGAAGACTGAGCATTCAAAGCACAAACAGCCTCTTGGCATGAACTTCAATGAACTGGTCATAATAGTCACTGAAACTTCTCACATGGTGTAGCACGAGTTGTGGAAAGAACATGCAACTGTAAGTTGTAAAGCTTCGTAGTCTGAGGTCTGCAGAATTCTGGTCATAGCACCAGAGCATTTTCGTGCGTATACCATCTGTATGCAATTGACATCTGGTTTTGATGTATTTTAAATAGCTCAATTCAGATCTGTGAGGAAGAAGAAGAGCAAAAGGAAATAGCTGAGTAGCTGGAACGAACATGTCCGGTCTCACAGTTTCCTTGAACCTTTGGCGCAAATGATTTTTTTGAAAGCACTTCCAACTCCCAGTGAACCATGTTCAGATCAGAGCTTTCATGATTTTCATGTGTTTTTCATGTGCTTTTCATGTGCTTTATGAATGAACTCATCCTTCTCCATACTTCCAGCAGCTGCCCCTTTTGGCAGCGCGGAAAGACTCACAGAGGACAGTCACGGAGCTGTAGCTCGGACTGTACTATACAGATCTATACAGACCAAAAACACTTTATATTTCTATACATCTCTTTACCACTTCACGAAGTTTGCATCTCTTTGCCAGTTTTTGGCTTGTAGAGACTTGGCAGGTCGATTCATGCCAAATTGTTTGAGAAGCTTTGCTGTCCACTTGTACATAGCAAATATACCTTCAAAAGACTGGCACTTCGGCTTCCAAAAGGTTGTCCTTGAATATCTCATCGGAATTCATCTTATCGGAGGGTCACTTGAGCTGGACACTTTAGATTGTTGGACCATGTTGGAATGCTCCAGTGGCGAGTCTGGACGAACATTCCATTGGACATCTATTCGTTGCTTTCGCCGTAAATTGGCTCAACACTCCGGCCTGCTTAGGGCGGATACAGGCGGGCAAGACAGCTGGATGTGTGGTGAAGTGGGAATGGTAAAATGTCCTGGAAAGAATAAACAGTATTGAGATGCGTTCTCTGACCTCTTGTAATTTTTGTATCTCTTTGTGAAGTTCGTTGCAACATGTGACACACAGAAAGTACACCCTGCTTTTTGGTAGATGGAACATCTATTTGCTCCAGTCTTTCACCTTTTTCCATCATTTTTCCTTTCCGTCTTTCTTGGCAGACGACTATGCCGCAATTTCTAGACAAGCAGAATCTTTCCTCGTTTTGCAGCTTTCGTTCTTTTCATTCCTTTCATTCTGGACCCTGCCAGGCACGGCTGAATACCCAGAATCCGCAGTTCTTCCAGTCAGGCACCAGACCTGAAGCACATTTTCTCAGCTCCGAGACTTTCCAAGCCCCCCCAGTCAAAGAGCCCCATCCTGCAAGTTCGAAGCACAACACCTTGTGATCCTTGTGCAAAGCGCACCACATATAAAAAACGCGCACGGCCTGCCTCACTTTGTGCTTCAACTCTCCGGAGTGGGAACCTCAGAGGTTCACAGAGGCTCATACAAGGCTCATGCACGGCTCATGCAAGGCTGATGATGCTTGTCTGTGTCCGTGTCATGTTTGAAGATGGTCTCGGTGTGGCATGCGAGCATACCAGTGGGACATCACTTTGTTGAAAGCTGGCAGGCACGTCACAATTGTCATTTCATGTTATTGCCATAGTGACATGAAGCGATCAACTTCTCCAAGGCAAAAACTGCAGCCATGAGTGACCGCAAGCGCATGAGCATCGGGGCAGTGACTACGCCCATTCTGGGATCGCGATCTAGTGCCACCACCGAAAGAGAGGTGCAGATCCGTGAGGGGACTGCTACCTCCCACTGCATCACATTGCTTGCCTTGCACTTCTTTTTGAAGACATGAAAACCATTTCGGGGGAAATTTTTAAACAGATGGACTCTGTCGCCATGTGGCCACTTTAATGTCAAGCAGAATGCAAAGCGAAAAGCGTATTTTGAAACTTTCTCTCTGTCTCTGTCCAGGCTGGCATTGCTGAGGTGGGTTGCTGCGGGGGTTTGATGGAGGTCTGGAATCCATCTTCTTTGCCGTGGAATTGGGATAACCTCATGGACTGGTGACACGAAAATGCACGCCCCGAAAAACCGGAACAGTCCTGGAACCTTGCTGGAACCTTTCGCCGTTGGGTTGCAAAGCTGGGCTAATTATTGATTCAACATGGACTGTTTATTGCTGGCCTCCCTTTGTATTTCACTTTTGGCACACTACGGTTCAATACACTTCAAGCCATTTTTGACACAGTCTGGAACGTTGAAAGTTTGAAATCACGGAAGGGAATGAATGCAAGATTTAATTAAGATCAAATTGTGTTTCAATGCTTCATGATCTGTTTGCGTTTCCAGGTCAATGGTGCACGGCTCAACTCGAGAATTAATTCTCTACCTTTGAAGCCTAGAACAATATCTTTTGAGGGAATTAAATCTTGAGTTAATTCTGTTCATATTGGCTCTGATACTTCCTGCTCTTTCTTCCCTCTTCTTCTCTACTCTGCTTGTATTTATTCTTCCCTCGTCTTTTCAACTCTTTTTTTTTCTCCTTTACCTTCTCCATCCTTCTGATTCTTTCCCTTTCTCTTCTCTACTCTTTTCATGTAGTCTCTTTAAGTGCACTTGCCCGAAGTTTAACTGCAATAGTTGATATAGGATCTCTTTTGAGGGAATTACATCTTGAGTTAATTCTGTTCATATTGGCTCTGATACTTCCTGCTCTTTCTTCCCTCTTCTTCTCTACTCTGCTTGTATTTATTCTTCCCTCTTCTTTTCAACTCTTTTTTTCTCCTTTACCTTCTCCATCCTTCTGATTCTTTCCCTTTCTCTTCTCTACTCTTTTCATGTAGTCTCTTTAAGTGCACTTGCCCGAAGTTTAACTGTAATAGTTGATATAGGATCTCTTTTGAGGGAATTAAATCTTGAGTTAATTCTGTTCATATTGGCTCTGATACTTCCTGCTCTTTTTTCCCTCTTCTTATCTACTCTGCTTGTGTTTATTCGTCCCTCTTCTTTTCAACTTTTTTTTTCTCCTTTACCTTCTCCATCCTTCTGATTCTTTCCCTTTCTCTTCTCTACTCTTTTCATGTAGTCTCTTTAAGTGCACTTGCCCGAAGTTTAACTGTAATAGTTGATATAGGATCTCTTTTGAGGGAATTAAATCTTGAGTTAATTCTGTTCATATTGGCTCTGATACTTCCTGCTCTTTCTTCCCTCTTCTTCTCTACTCTGCTTGTATTTATTTTTCCGTCTTCCTTTCAACTCTTTTTTTCTCCTTTACCTTCTCCATCCTTCTGATTCTTTCCCTTTCTCTTCTCTACTCTTTTCATGTAGTCTCTTTAAGTGCACTTGCCCGAAGTTTAACTGTAATAGTTGATATAGGATCTCTTTTGAGGGAATTAAATCTTGAGTTAATTCTGTTCATATTGGCTCTGATACTTCCTGCTCTTTCTTCCCTCTTCTTATCTACTCTGCTTGTGTTTATTCTTCCCTCTTCTTTTCAACTTTTTTTTTCTCCTTTACCTTCTCCATCCTTCTGATTCTTTCCCTTTCTCTTCTCTACTCTTTTCCAGTAGTCTCTTTAAGTGCACTTGCCCGAAGTTTAACTGTAATAGTTGATATAGGATCTCTTGACAAGGAATTAAATCTTGAGTTAGTTCTGTTCTTATTGACTCTGATACCTCATGCTCTTTCTTCCCTCTTCTTGCCTACTCTGCTTGTATATGTTCGTCCCTTCTCTTTTCAACTCTCTTGTTTCTCCCTTTACCTTCTCCATCCTTCTGATTCTCTCCCTTTCTCTTCTCTACTATTTTCATGCAGTCTCTTTAAGTGCAATTGCCCGAAGTTTAACTGTAATAGTTGATATAGGATCTCTTGAGAAGGACATTAAATTTTGAGTTAATTCTGTTCATATTGGCTCTGATACCTCCTGCTCTTTCAGTCGGTATAGGATCTCTTGAGAAGGAATTAAATCTTGAGTTAATTCTGTTCAAATTGTCTCTGATACCCTTTTCTCTTTCTTCCCTCTTCTTCCCTACTCTGCTTGTATTTATTTTTCCCTCTTCTTTTCAACTCTTTTGTTTCTCCTCTACCTTCTCCATCCTTCTGATTCTTTCCCTTTCTCTTCTCTACTCTTTTCATGTAGTCTCTTTAAGTGCACTTGCCCGAAGTTTAACTGTAATAGTTGATATAGGATCTCTTGACAAGGAATTAAATCTTGAGTTAATTCTGTTCTTATTGACGCTGATACCTCCTGCTCTTTCAGTTGGTATAGGATCTCTTGAGAAGGAGTTAAATCTTGAGTTAATTCTGTTCAAATTGTCTCTGATACCTTCTGCTCTTTCTTCCCTCTTCTTCCCTAATGTTGTCTAGCCAATAGTGATATCTTGTCAATAGTAGAAACATTTTTCCGCAACTCCATTTTTTCTCCAATACTAAAAGTCAATTAGCTCCAGTTACTTTTAGTATTGCCAAAAGAGTCATGTTCAGACCTTGTCCAGAGGGCATGGCCAATAGTGGACCCAACATGGCAATAGTGGAAACTGTTTTCCCAACTCCAATTTTTTCTCCAATACTAAAAGTCAATTAGCTCCATTTACTTTTAGTATTGCCAAAAGAGTCAAGTAAAGCAAGTCCTTTTCAAAGCAGCCTTCACTTTTGATTGGCAAAAGCTTAGATTCCAGAAATCTGATCCAATTACCAAACAGCTGATTTCCTTATAAAACCCTTATTAAAAAAAGCAAGAAAACAGCACAATGGGTACCCCCTTTGCAAGCCCCAGAATAGCAATAACAAACCTGCACCAGGCATGGCAATAGTGGAAACTTTTTTCCGCAACTCCAATTTTGTTGTCCTCCTTCTCCTTCTCCTTCTCCTTCTTCTCCTTTCCCACTCTTCGCCAATCTCTCAGAAACCCAACCAAATCCATTCAGAATCTATCAGAAACCCAACAAAACCATGGAGAATCTATCAGATACATATCATGATCCCAGCTATAAAGTTCCAAAAAATTACTATTGGAATGCTGACCCCCCCAATTTTCTAAAAAAAATATATATTTAGGGGGGATTTACTATTAGGAAGCCTACATTACTCTGCTTGTATTTATTCTTCCCTCTTCTTTTCAACTCTTTTTTTCTCCTTTACCTTCTCCATCCTTCTGATTCTTTCCCTTTCTCTTCTCTACTCTTTTCATGTAGTCTCTTTAAGTGCACTTGCCCGAAGTTTAACTGTAATAGTTGATATAGGATCTCTTTTGAGGGAATTAAATCTTGAGTTAATTATGTTCATATTGGCTCTGATACTTCCTGCTCTTTCTTCCCTCTTCTTCTCTACTCTGCTTGTATTTATGCTTCCCTCTTCTTTTCAACTCTTTTTTTTCT